TTGGCGTTGCCGCTTTTATGGTTTCGTGGTCTTCCATTTTGTCCTGGTTAAGAGCATTTTGTTGTGAAACTTTTGTTCTGTCATGTGCTTTGAATGATCGGTGGCTAAATGTCAGCGTTTGTAAGGCGTTTTTTTATTTTGTTTATTATCGTTAACAGCCTTTTGTTAACCTTTCTTTTTTGTTATTCACGGATGTTCCGGTTTGCTCACATGCACCTGCGCTACATGTTCTGCATGATAGGGTGGTATACAGACGGACTTTGCGGGGTCCTCACGTGCTTCGCCCCTAAAACCTATGCCAGACTGAAATGGCTGTGTTCTAGTGCGACGTGGAAACTGCGTTGGCGAGGATATGCGATGTCAAAGCTTGCATGACAATGCAATGCTGCATGCTGTTTACCCATGCGTATATAGGAAAAACTTGTTTTGTGTGCAATGCAGCTCTGCTTTCCTCCGCTCATACATGTTTAGTGCAAAACTTCAGTAGTACTTCTACCCAGCGTATCAACATTCCCACTTAACCTGAAATTTCGGGGACGAAGAAACACGCGTTGAGCTGAAATCAGAGTGGGAGTGAATTGACATGAGGACGCAACAAGCAATGCACCATTCGACAAGGGCACTGCATAACTTGAATGGAAATGCACGTACAGAGCAAGAGGCTAAGGATGGGCCATAGTCGGTACAAGTCTTAAGGAACGGAGCAGACGGGCAAAGCAAACGCGAGGACGGGCTCTACCAATTGATCAATTTATAGCATATAGGCGGGGTTTTCAGAATTTGTTGCTCTTCCCCATCTCTCTCTCAATATATATATATATATATATATATATATATATATATATATATATATATTGCCCGATTTGAGAATAACGTTGACATATGCACGAAACCAAATTAATCCACTCCATAATAGACTTGCCCGCCCACAAGATTCAGGTGACACGTCTATGAAATTGAACTCACCTAATCCGAGTACTCAGTTGTCCCACGTCGAAAACCAGCTTGGTCCATTTAAAAAAAAAGCTTGGTCCACCTCCAAAATTCGGGTGACACGTCCCAGAACTTCCTTAACGAAATTCGAGAACCGAGTTGTCCCACTCTAGAACCGACCTACCGCACTCACAAAATGGACGTGGCTCACACACGAAATTTCTGTTGCTCATCTCCAATGCATTGCCTGATTCAAGAACAAGGTCGACACGTGTCGACTCGTTTTGGCATGTATGCTAAGAATATATATATAAAGAAAAGCTAGTCCACTCCCAAGTGGAGGTGGCCTACCTCTAAGATTTGGCGGACACGTCCAACTGACTTCACCTGATTAGAGAATCCATTTGTCTACGCCCAAAGCCAACCGGACCCACACCCAGGGGCGTAGCCAGGGGGTGGCACACCAGGCACGTGCCCCCCCCCCCATTTTTTTCGCCATGGCATAGCGAGAAAAATATGGTCATCTCAAGGGGGTGCCCCCCCCCCGAAAAAATTTCTAGCTACACCTCTGCCCACACCCCAAATTAACTTGGCCCACCAGAATATTTTGGTGCTTCATTCCTGGAATGGACATTGCCTCATTCGAGGATATGGTCAACACGTACTTGTAACAAAATTAGTTGGCTCCCATAGAGGCTTGGTCCTCCGCCAAGATTTGGGTGGCCCGTCTTCAGACAGGACTTCACCCATTTGTAAAACCAATCGAGTTGTCCCATCCGAACCAGACTTTCTACTCTCGAAATTGACTTGACTTAGCCAGCATATTTCGTTTGCTATTCCCTGAAATTGGCATAGCCCAATTCGGGAATGTGGTCGACACATGCCCACAACTGCCTTGGTGCACCCCAAACAGGCTTGACCCACCTCGAATATTTGAGTGGCCAGTCTCAAGACCAGATTTGCCTAATTCGATAACCACCGGCCTGGCCATCTGGTAACATGCGCTTGGCTTACCCACAAAATGTTGATCACCCACTTCGAAATCAACTATACCTGATCCAAGAATAGAGTCAACTGCTCAAACAGACTTGGTCCACTCGCATATAGACTAGATCTACCCTCAAGATTTGGTTGGTCCATCTTTCGGGGTGCTATGACCGTCTGTAGTGAAGTTTTCACCTCATTGCACACATGTCATAACTATCAATGTTGGCTTTGGGACCGAGAGAAGTCACCCTGTGCTTGCGCGGGTCGAGAAAGGAAAAAAAACAGTTATTTTGGACTAATTGATTTTCATTCAAAATTTTGCACTTGAGCTTTTCTCTGATTAGCTGACTACATACCAGTATTGTTTCATAATTATATCAGTACATGAATTATTCAGCTGAATTTTTTTTCTACATTTCCCAGTAAACAGGTGGCTTTTTTTCCCCTTAATCTCAAGCCTAATATTTAACCAACGGTTTCATGGTTGATTGATATGTGGGGTTCAACGTCCCAAAACCACTATATCATTATGAGAGACGCCGTAGTGGAGGGCTCCGGAAATTTAAACCACCTGGGGTTCTTTAATGTGCACCCAAATCTGAGCACACGGGCCTACAACATTTCCGCCTTCATCGGAAATGCAGCCGCCGCAGCCGGGATTCGAACCCGCGCCCTGCGGGTCAGCAGCCGAGTACCTTAGCCACTGGACCACCGCGGCGGGACAACGGTTTCTTGGTCAATCCCTCAAAGTGGGTAAGAGGCAAATCACAAAGGCCAAGCAGGCAAGTGCATGGCACCGGCGCCCAATGATTCCCCTTCATAGTATTTGCACTGCTCGGTTCATGAAACGTCAGTGACGCCAATGTTTGATATAAGCATGTAGGGTTTCCCATGCACGAGTGGAATCTTGCCACACAGACTCGAGCAGATTCACGCATATGGCGCAACATGTGCGCTACTTTTTCTTTGCTGAGCTTCATAGACTTCTTTCAGGTTGTTTTCCCTTCAGATGTAGTCACGTGGCAACCAGTAGCGTAAATCAAAACCGATCACAAAGAGGGGGACACATTTTGGCCATGGTGGCCATTTTGTTTTTATAAATTCCTGTTGTACTCCTGAAAATTATATATCATCCCTTGAAATCAAATTTGAAAGTGAACATCGTTTCTCAACTCACGTAATTGGATTTTCTTCTCTGAAACCAATTCAGCGGCACTTGTAATTACAGTAATAACACGCAGCTGTGAAAATATTGAACACCCATACAAGCTAAAATAAAAGGGACTAAAAATGCTGAATGCGCCATACCTAACTGTCGAAACTTTCAGATTTAGGATGTTTGAAATATAAATTTCATAAGGGGTCCTTTGCAAGGGTGCCCCCCCCCCCAGCCTAAGCACAGGGGGGTCAGGACCCCCCCCCCCTAAAGATTTACACCACTGATGTGCTGACCCTGAGGAAGCAGGAACCTCTCGCTCGGCAAGGGCTGGCACCCTTGCTCGCTGCAGGCTCGTGTCAGTCCCATGTTTGCAACACATTTTAGAGATTTAATGTTAACGCGATTACTTCTTGACTATTTCTGTTGTTCTTTTAGACCTTGTTCACTTCACCAGGGTTCGAGCTATGCTCCCCTAACTATGGCCTGTAGTGAGTGCTTTACTAGATTCATACCACAAGAAATCTATGAATGGACAAGCTGGCTCCTTGAAATGCTCCGTACTTAAAAGAAAGAAACTAGTGAATAGGGCCAAAATTAAGTAGTGGGGAAAATAAGGACATATTGCCACAAGGGGCACGGAACTGCACTGTCGATTTATTGTTGTCAGTTTTCTTTTATTTTCATTTTATTTTTGTAATGAGTAGTAATAGCAATAGGCAAGCATAACTTTTTTTTGTCAAGCCTAATGGCACATACTGCACCACTTCGTTATGAAGGAGACTCTCACAGCAATCATCTATTCATTGCCATCAGTGCCACCTCAAAAGCAGCCAGGTTATGTGGGTGCTTGAGCATAAAAAAATCTACCATTTTAGAGACCACAATTGTGAAGTTTGCTAGCGCAACACTAATTGCAGCCACTATTTATGGCAGCCAAAGCATACGATCCCTACCAGGGGGGAAAAAAACGGATGGTCCAAGTATATCTTTGTATTCCCTGCATTCCAACAACTGACGCCTCTGAACTCCTCTGGACTTAAACAGACCTTGATTCGCTACAGATGATGCCTACTTAAGTTAATTTAGTTTTGTTACCTTTAATAAAAAATTAAGCATTACGTGTGTCAAGCACTTGCTAACTTCGGCCTCGAGGCTTGAACATTGAAAACCATTTCACATCCTCTCGTGCTTGCATAGACAGTTTGATCACTACATTTGGCAAGTGGTGCTAATTTAGGTTAGGTATGGAGGCATTAGTTAGAAGAGGAACAACATTAAATGAAGCCTCAGCACATCATTTGTTAATGCACCTGATTATTTGTTGAAGATGGCTTGCCACCGGCAGGATCAGAACCTGTGACTTTCGTTCTGATCCAGCCAGTAGCAAGGTATCTTTCGTCCACATCTTTTTTTTTCACATTTTCACTAAGATTACTTCTAATAACATTGCCTACACTTTCCTTGGCGTTATTGTCAGTTAGTCCTCGTGAAACATTGCACAAGCAATGCTACCGGAAGCTGTTATCTGCTCAATGCCAGGATTGTTCTAACAAAAAACGTTTCGGCAGCAGTTGTACAACGTGCAGCTTTTTCTTTTATTACAAGTGCAGAGTTTGACGAATGTACAAAGAGTAACAGAAAAGAGAAAAAAGACAACAAGACAGAAGTTAATGCATTGCAATATGACTTTTCTCTTATGTACATTATGATGTGGGCATGCGCGTGTTTTTCTGGGTGGCTCAGGGGGTCTATACAATGCCAACACAATAAAATGTTTCAATACGTTTCAGGAACACGATTCAAGCACTGTTCCACAACAGGCCTCCTTCCCAACACAACCAATGTGATGATGAAAATGACGATCAGAATGATGAGATGCAAGCTGTACACTGTACATGGTGAATGTACCACCGATGAGACTTCAGTTCAAGAGACCCCTGCACTGGGGCGCTCCACACAGGCACACAATTTTTTCGTCCTCCAGAGGGAACTTGTAGTCATAGGTGATCATCTCATTGACGTTGATGGGCTGCTTTGAGTAAGTGACGATCTTCTTCTGCCCTTCCACTGTAATTACTTTGGCGTAACAGTTTGACTGCACGAAAACAGAAAAAAGCGCGATCTTACACTTGCAAGTAAAACACAAAAAAATTAAAGATTTGCTTCTACGTCATCCATTATTTGGCACTACACTCAACCACGATGACAAACATTCAAGTAGAGAAGAGGCTTGGTTTTCGAGGTACTACACAGTAAAGGGGTCCCAGGCAGAGCAAGTGACCACAACTGTAAAGTGTAGTAGCGCTGCTGATAACATTATTACAATTCACCGCCACATCTGGCTGGTCATTTTTAAGCACCCCAGAGCGTTCTGAGTACACCCCATTTAGGTGGTCAAGATCTACTGCTCTAAACATGTTTGTATGGTTCTTTCAGAACGCCACCCTCTAGCTCAGAGAACTCTTCAGGCACTCTTAATTCATTCCTTCATTCTATGAGTGCAATCGATATCTAATCCTGTGACTCCTGCGGCTTTCATAATGATATGACATCAGCTATGACTGCATGCTTGATGATTGCATGCTTGATGATCAATGTCTGCACACTTTGTTTGTTTGTTTAAAAAGAAATAGAGGAGGCAAGTTTTCTCTTCCGGCCTCTTGATTACTCTGGCTGCATGTTCAGTTCAGACGCATACACCGGCTGTTGCCAAAATTTAGGCTACTACATCTCTGCCATGTTTGACAACTTCATACACTGTGGGACTATCTGTATTAGTTTAGTCTCGCACTATATTTTCGACATGCCTACTTCATTGATAAGTTCAATGTCACCTGTCTAAACTCTTATAAATCCTAGATAATCGGTAGAGTGCATACATGTAAACTTTCTTTGATTTTTCAATAGCAATAATTCCATATGACATGACAAGTATAACTCAGTTCTCTGCCATTAAGTGTTCCCGCTCAAACAGTTATCTTGCACGCACAATGTATTACTTTGGGTCACGTAAAGCTTACCAAAGACGTGTACTGTGCCACTTACAGTGCTCACAGATCAAAACAGAACTACAGTTGAACCATTTATATGAAGCATGCTCCGGGCAGCTATTCTTGTCTTTTATATGGGATGCAGTCGCGGGAATGCCTTCCAGCATTTCAGAGGAGCCATTGGAGCAGGCAAATTCTGCTTTTGGAGCGGCTACCTCTGTGTTTGTAGCACGCTTGGGCTTTCAATAACGCACACAAATGAACAAAATTAAGCCTCAATTTAGTTTAATGTTCCCTCAGTTGACATAATCATTTATACAGAAACAGCAAGCCCAAAGAAGAAGCACAAAATATAAACAAAAGCAGGATCATATACAGAAGCAGTGTCGTAAAACAGTGAAAGATATTGCACCAACAATTAGGCTACCTGTAGCATGAAGTTCTACCAGCGCGGGCGCACACTCACATGGGTGTGCCCACGGGGAGGTGAGGCGAGGGGAGTGCAAATCCAGCCCCGTACATTGACATGATAGGGAGGGGGGCTCTGTGAAGAACCTTCACCCCCTTCCCCTGAAGGGGAACCCCGAGCATGCTGATGAATCTCCCTCTCCACACACATATTCGAAGCTTTTTACAGTAAAACCTCGTTAATACAACTTACATGGCCAAGAACGCGGCTAACTGCACACTAAACGCAGTATGCACTAACCGCCAAGTACCAATTTGCATCTCTTTACGTGCACCATTGCCACTAAAGAAGAAGTAAACTAATACAGTGCCACAGCACATATTGCCTAAGGTGCCCACCACAAAGCCATTTCTTTCTGTTTGCCAAATTTTAGAAAGACTGGCACTCTCGCACGGCCGTCTGATGGCATGCGGTGGCGACAGCAAGGAAAATTTCGAAACTACTGCGGAGTCTGGGATACGCAGCCGACGCAAAGACTTGCATAGCGGTGAAACAGACATAAGCGGCTGTTCGCGATGAATGTGTGCCACAGTCTGCTGCTTAGCGAGAACAGACGCCGCTTTTTTTGGGTGCGGTACGGTAGCAGAGAGCTGATCATCTACCAGCTAGCTGCGTGTAGCGCTTTGCCTACTTGGCATACACAGCATGGCAAGCCTCTTATCCCTACTCCGTTTTAGACCACGCACAGATGCGGCGAGAAAGCTATTACGTTAGCGCGATGATACGAGCTTTCTGCAAGCCATGCTCTAGCGATCCTAGAGCTGGCGGTCTTGGAGACTGAAGTGCATTTGGGTTGACGCCCTATGAAAGTTTGCTGTATCAGCGCCCGCAATCTACAATGCTCAACTCTGCAACAGCGAGCTACTTTCGTTTCTGCAAAGCGATACACGCAAAACACGGTCCCATACAATAGTCGACGTGGCGGCAATCAGCGCCCCAGCTTGCAGGTAGTCGCCAGCTATTAAAAGCATGCAGTAGGCTTAAAGCGGCACGTAGGATTTTTATCGGCGATGTCATACTAGTGCGCCTTCCAGTAGCCGCCACATCGCCTTCTTTCTTTGCTAGTGATTACCAGAAAAGGCACCGCTGCTATGGTGCAGAAGTGAGAATAATTGATTGGTGGAATCCGTGATTTTGCAGCTACGCGACTGCACGCAAATGCAGCAGCACAAGTGTACAAGATGGCGGCCATCACGTAAAATATTCCATATACGTGCTGTCAACATTACTTTCGGTTCCAAAACCACTTTGTGGGTGCAACTATGGTGCAAATCAAACACAAAAGGACCCTTTTGGAGCAGTATGGCGCAGTAATTTCCAGTTGGTACAGGTTGGCACGATTGGCACAGGTTTCCCACCACTGTAAGATCTCTCTCATAAGCAGGGCACCATGTAGGCATTTACTTATCAAACCGCCTTTCAATGAAGGCACACTGGTGTCTCTTTTAACCATTTTTCTCTTATATCAGTGTCTCTTATAAAGGGGTTCGACTGTATTTAGGGCTACGTATTGCAGATACTTTCGTTTCTACAGTCTTTGACCCAGGTTGTATTGACGTAATGCCTTTTCAAACAAGTAATCAGAGCCACCTACATCTTTAGAGTCCAGATTCACTGCGACATGACGTGGATATCTTGAGCAACTGCGCATACCAGTCATTTCATGAAAAATTCAACGGCACGTTTAAACCCGCAAGTACTACTGTGCATGGTTGCTTTGACAAATATAACGGGACGCATCCTATAGTACTCACATTGCAGCTGTGATTGATGAACCGGGCCAGATTGCCACATTTGGTGGCATCAATGATGGTTTTCACAACTACTCTGAAGAGGTACGAGCTTCCGATGCCGATCTACGTGTAGCACTGCTCTCGCCAGACAGCCATGATGGGCCGCACCATCTGGCCCACATACTCGATGACCATCTCGTCGGCCGCAATCGGCTCCAGAGCAAACAGTCCCCAGTCGTGAATGCGACTCTTCGCAAATTTGAGTCGTTTCTTGCGGAACTGCAAGGATTAAAGATGGCAAGCAAGCGAGATCATTAGGTAAAGCACAACTGCACATATTTTTATCTAGCACAGACACTAGGGTGTTTCGTTTTCATATTACCTGTGCATCATGGTTTGCCTGTGCATTTCATTTCAAAACCTGGTAAAGTCTGTCACTAAATCTCAGTTAAATGATTAACCCTATCTTACTGCCTGAGAGTCCTGAAATTGGATTGTAGTTAATTGCTCAGATGTACCATATATTTAGTGCTAGCATAATTCATTGTGACCAATTTCGACATCACTTCAAAGCACCCGCCTAGCATCATAAGAACCTAGTTCCCTACAGGAGGGCGACGGGGCTAAGGTCACAAGTCTTTGCAATGTTCACAGCACCTTTTTTTTTTTTAAGTCGGAGCCCTACACAATGTAAAAATAAAATTATGTGTGTGCTTCAGAAAGAGTTGAGCTAGTTGAGCATTGGCTAGACTGTCATGAGCATACCCCTTCAGTATAAAGAAAAGCATTCCTGTCAACATCAGCCAGAACCACATCGCGAGCAGCCCGATAAAAGAGCAAAAGGGGGTGATGAGCAATGGCCCCTGTCAGCTGTCAATGTATTGCCTGCACCCCGCAAGCCTTCTGTGACAGTGATAACACTACCTTTACTCATTCAATGTCGGAGAGGGTCAGATATTGGAGCATTTTTTTCAGCAGCAAAATGTTACTTTTGGAGCACAAAAATTGAAATTTGCAGCAGGTTACGGGGGAGCAAAACATTAATTTTTTATGACAAAAATCCAATTTGGAGCAGTATGAAAAAGAAGTCTTACATTTAGAAAAATAATATGCACAAAAAATTCAACGTGCAGTAAATTATGCAGTGTGAATCAGATCACTGCTGTTTCAATAAAATTAGTATTTTTATTCACCTCACTGAGCAAACAATGATAACGTCCACATTAACATTTGGCGCATCTAACTTTGCGAATTCCAATGTGGATCTACCAAGCTGGTGACCTTGAAATTCAAGGGTTTCGTAAGGGTGGCAGAAAAAAAAACAGGCATACAGTTTTTTAAGTTGCCAGAAATATCATCATCAGCCTGACTACGCCCACTTCAAGACAAAGACACTTCTTCGGCAATTTTGTGGCCACTTATGGGTTGTTTCGAGGCATCCATTCAGTCACGGTTAGTTAGCAAGAGCGGAAGACCGACATGACCACCTAACAGCGTAAATAGAGAGTTATAGTATACCGGGTTCACCGGGTTACCGGGTGTACCGTGATACCGGAATCGAAGTGCGCATGCGCAGATACGTATGTCACCCGTACAGCTTCCCGTACGCGTGGCATTTTTTCAGATTTACGTAACCATGCTAGCGTAGGTGTACGTAGCGTACGTAGTGTACGTAAACATGGCGGCGCTCTCGCACGCCCGCTTCGAAGTGATTTTGGCGTAGTTGTTG